CTCAAACTCTTGGGCTCAAGCAATTCTCTTGCCTCAGCTTCCCAAGTAGCTGGGACTACAGGCACCTGCCACAACACCCAGCTATTTTTTTGGTTGTAATTGTCATTGTTGTTTAGCTGGTCTAGGCTGGGTTCAAACACACCAGCCTTGGTGCATGTGGCCAGTGCCATAACCACTGTGCCAAGTCTCTTGCCTCTATTATTTTTTTTGTGAGACAAAGTCTCACTCAATTGCCCTGGGTAGAGTGCTGTGACATCATAGCTCACAGCAACCTCAAACTCTTCGGCTCAAGTGATACTCTTACCTCAGTCTCCCAAGTAGCTGGGACTACAGGAGTCTACAACACCTGGCTAGTTTTTCTATTTTTAGTAGAGATGGGGTCTCACTCTTGCTCAGGCTGGTCTTCAACTCCTGAGCTCAAGCAATCCACCTCCCTTGGCTTCCTAGAGTGCTAAGATTATAGGTGTAAGCTATCTTACTTCTATTTTCTTAAAAATAATTTTTTAAAAACTTATTTTGAAGACTACAGCACCTGGTATTCCTAGGCTGTCTTTCATCCAAATACTGTGTTTCCCCAAAAATAAGACCTACCCAAAAAATAAGCCCTAGCAGGATTTCTATGCATTTGTTAAATATAAGCTCTATCACGATAAGACGTAGTGATGGGCGTGGCTATGCAGATATGCTGTATAGCCATGACATGCATTTCCGTGGAATGGTAAGGAACACTGGAATACCTTTTATCTGCCACAGCTCCTTTTTCCTAGCTATTCACGCATGCGCGGGTGGTAACCGTGGTTGCAGGCATCCTACTGCACATGTGCAAACAGCTAGGGGAAAGGAGTTCACGTATCACTAGTGCCAGCCCCACCAACAAGGTTGGCTCCCCCTGTCAGTTTCGGGCCATCCTGTGCACGCTGAGGCTTCAGGTGGAGACGGAGACATAGAGACTGGAGGTCTCCACAGTGAAAGTCTTCTTAGTGAAATGAGGAGTAGGACACTCCGCTTTTTCACTATATTGTGTGTTCCCAGGGGGGAGAAGGAAAGCTGTGGCTGTTTTTACCCAGCATCAATCCAGCAACAGTCTGCGAGCCTCTCTTACCCCACAGAAACACCAGTAAAGCTGCTGCTCTCCAGCACCAACCAGCAACAGTCTGTGGGCCTCTCTCACCCCATACCCTCTATAAACGCCAGGGGATAGGGGGAAAGCTTCAGCAATCAGTCTGCTACTGAGCCCAGAGAGATCATCTCAGCTCCCCTGTGCAGATTGGACCCAGTGCTTGCTGGATCCCAAATACAGTAAATAATTCAGCCCTTATATATCAGCTTTGCTGGCCTATCTCTGCTTTTCCTGAGTATCTGTACCCCCAAACAAGATGAGGGCAAAAAGAAAGAGCTATTCTGTTGAGTACAAGAAAGGAATTGTCGAGGACTCCCAGGGCAAGAATCTTACAGCTTTCTACAAAGAGAAGAAGTTGGATATCCGAATGGTCCGAAAATGGCGGGCAGAATGCGATAACCTCAGTCTACATGTGGACAGAGGAAATGCTAAGAAGCCAAGTGTGGTTCAGGTCGGCAACCTTTATTTCCTGAGCTGGAAAACATAAATCTGTGAATGGATTGCTGACAGGAGAGCAAAGGCTTTGGTTGTGTGCAGGGCTGACATTCAAGCATTTGCCCTTGCAATGGCACCACAGTTTGAAATATCCCCAGAATTCAAAGCATTACAATGGCGTCCTTCTGCGATATGAACTGTCTCTAAGAAAATCAACAACACTGTCTCAGTTGGAAGATGCAGAAGTTATTAAGCAAGCACTTGCATTCAAGTCCTTTGTTGATGGCATCGACTTTTCTAAATACCAACCTTGCAACATGATTGCTATGGATAAAACTGCAGTGTTTATGGGTCAAGGAGCCCAAACAACAATTGAACAGAGGGGTGCCTCCTCAATCTACATTCCCTTCACTGGTCACGAAAGTTCATGTGTTAACCTGTATTTTGGCCATTCGTCTGGATGGAAAGAAAGTTACACCTCTTATCATCACTAAGGGCAAGAAAGATAAGATTGAACGTGTTTCACGCATTTATGTTCTTGAAACAGAAAAAGCCTGGTGCACACAATCAGTTATAAGGAAGTGGCTTGATTTAATGCTGCCACTTATTTTGCGAGGTGGCCAAAGAGGTCTGCTAGTCTGGGATTCAGCCAGCACTCACCGTGCTAAAGACATGAAGAACTTGCTTGCAGAGAGAAAAATAGGTCAAATAATGATTCCCGCAGTAATGACTGCCTATCTGCAGACTCTTGATATTGCAAGAAACAATCCATTTAAAGACCATTTCCATTTGCATATGGAAATTAATGACTACATTGAAAATAGAATGACAGGCTCAGCGCCTGTGGCTCAAGCTGCTAAGGCGCCAGCCACATACACC